TGACGAACTAATAGGTAATTCTTCATTAACTACTTCTTCACTACTGTTAACTACTAAGGAAGATGTGTTAACTAATCAGTATGTAATATAATTTTATGATTGTGTTAAGTATCAGTTAGTTAATCAATAACTAATGAATTCTGTCATACCTCCTGAAGAACTACTACTAATTATCTACTAATTAAGGTTCAAGAAAAATAACTAAGAAGTAACTACTGAACAGTCAACTAACCTCAGATTATTTGTATATTTTATATACAGTACTGTGTGTGTCTGTTTTCCTCAGCATAGAATGCCACTGAGTAAATTCATGTATTTGAGGCAACGACTGAGGGAAACTGAAAATATAGAGAACTTATTAGTAATTAATAAATAAGTATCAAATAATTCTGCAGGAATTACTTAGAAGCTGGAACAGTATTCTAAAGTGAAAATATAGGGAACCCATTAGTAATTAATAAAGAATTATCAAATAATTATCTAGGAATTAGGCTACTTATAACCTGAAACAGTCTTCTAAAGTGAAAATATAAGGAACTTATTAGTAATTAATAAATAACTTTTAAATAGTTCTTCAGGAATTACTTAAAACCTGGAACAGTATTCTAAAGTGACAATACAGGGAACCCATTAGTAATTAATAAATAATTATCAAATTAATTATCTAGGAATTAGGCTACTTATAACCTGAAACAGTCTTCTAAAGTAAAAATATAAGGAACTTATTAGTAATTAATAAATAATTATTAGATAGTCCTTCAGGAATTACTTAGAACCTGAAACAGTATTCTAAAGTGACAATATAGGGAACCCATTAGTAATTAATAAAGAATTAGCACATACTTCTGACTCAAATCAAACTTACTGTAAATAAAAAAAATATTAGCATATATATATATTAACGTAATCATCTAAATCTTTGTAAAATACACGACAGTTACTTGCGACAAAGGCGAAGAGAAGTGAAAAAGGCAACAGTGGCAAGGAACCAAAACTCCATCAGGTGACAGAATGGAGAAAAAACCTTGGGAGAACCCAGGCTCAGTGTATGTGGCTACCGCCATATTGCCGGAACTTGAATGGTGCAAAAGAAGTTTAAAATGTATAAGAACTAAGTATAATAATAAGGTGTTATATACATGAGATGTTTTTGCTTATTTGCAAATCATAGCCTAAGGTAAATGTCTGCACTTATTTTTCTTATTAGTGCTGAAGAATGACAAACTGAATACCGTGTATGACTGTTAATTAGTAGTTACTTCATAGTTATTTTTCTTGAACCTTAATTAATAGATAATTAATAGTAGTTCTTCGGGAGGTATGACAGAATTCATTAGCTATTGATTAACTAACTGATACTTAACACAATCATAAAATTATATTACATACTGATTAGTTAACACATCTTCCTTAGTAGTTAACAGTAGTGACTTAAGTGTTAATAAAGAATTACCTATTAGTTCTTCATTAATTCCTTATTAGTTATGCAGTAAGTAAGATACAGTATTCTAAAGTGTTACCGCTTCGGGTACACATTCATACGCCTTTAAAATTAAAGATTTAACTCTCTCATAATCTTTACAATCATCAACCGACAATGAAGAAAAAACTACTTGTGCTTTCCCAGTTAACACACACTGTAGTAGAGCAACACGATTATCATCGGACCAGTTCCTTAATTCTGCCATGCGTTCAAATAGAGTAAAGAAAGTATCAGGATCTTCCTCGTTGAATTTAGGAATGAGTTTTAAGTTTGAATTGATCGAAAAAAACACATTCTGTTCCTGACCAGAACCAGAAAGCTTACCTTCTTTCACTAGGTTGAGCTTGAGAAATTCCAAATCCAACTTTGCCTTTTCTAATTCCTTTTACCTTGTTCAGCACGCAGTTTTATGTTCTCATGGTCCATCTGTAGAAGTAGCAGCTCTTTTTGCTGTTCAAAAGACAAATTACTTTTTAAGTCAGGTGCAATTGGTACATCTTTTTCCTCCATCTCGATATCTAAGATACCTTGTTTAATTAACTCAATTTTCAAAGCTGTCTTAACATTTTCTTTGAGCCTTTTATCTTTTATCACAATTTCATAATGTTCAGCAATACTCAATAATTGCTCTTTAGTACACCCGTTCAAAAGTTCATGAGAAGGTGAACTAACAAACTCATCAATATCAGCCATGCTGAAATCACCAGAACAAACATAATCAGCACAGTGCAATCAAATAACGAGAGTTTTCCCTCTACCTTTCCAATACTTCTCTACCTAACTCAACCCTAGTCTTCATGCGATTACCGGTGGGGGGTATTTATGCACTGTAGCCCGCTGGGTGAAAAACGCAACTGGGCAAACCAGCGACGCCTTCAACACCACGGATGTGCTCCCGAGATAATTACTACTACCCACTTTCACCGCAACAATACACAAAAATAACAAACCCGACACATCTCAAAAGAAACATGCCGCTATGCCTATCAGAGAAAACTCACGTTCAAAAAAAAACAATATTGCACATTCACTTACCAACTGGTGATTTCACACGGTGAACAAATTGACTTTGGCAAAAAACATTTTCGTGTGTCCAACAAATAATCAATTATCAAATTAAGCATCCAAAAATGTACGCAATCAAATTATCAAAGGACGGACGAGCCCCCAATTTGTTACGACCCTTGGCTCAAGGGAAGCAACAAAAACAAGGGACACACGCAAACCAAATTATAAGCTCAAAAATAATGTTTATTTAACTACAAATAATAAGACAAAACAGAATAATGAAATGAAAACAATTAAAGAAAATAAAAGTGTTTCTGTAGTAATCAGCAAAATCAGTGTGTAGAGCACGGTGCATGGTTGAAAGTGTAATGCAATGTTGAGGTTTGAAATGTGAATGCAAAAAGCAACAAAATACAACGCAAGCCAAACACCAAAGCAAAGTCCGAAACCAAAAAGCCCTCCTTCCTTGGCTCAGATGGTGATCTTTTAAGCGGTCACAGGTGTTTCCATTGAGGCAATTAGGCCATTTGATGCAATTAGCGGGCTCAGATACCAACAGCAACACTCAAGACCAACAGCAGGGGTCGTCACACTAGTAACTACTATTAACTAAAAGAAATTCTTATTAACGAATTAGTAAGTAATAGCTCACAGATGAAAGTGTTACTAGATACTTCTGTGGGAATTACTAATTATTTGGATTCGTATTATAAAGTGAAGATCCTTGGAATTAACTAGTAATTACTCAAGTGTTACTAAAGACATTTTCTAAAAGTATACTAAAGTTCACCAAAAATCTCAAACGTTTGCACAAATCATGACTAGATCATGTAGTAACACTTGAGTCATTACTAGTTAGTTCCAATGATCTTCACTTTATAATACGGATCTAAATAATTAGTAAGTAATAGCTCACAGATGAAAGTGTTACTAATTCTGTGGGAATTACTAATTATTTGGATCCATATTATAAAGTGAAGATCATTGGAACTAACTAGTAATTACTCAAGTGTTACTACATGATCTAGTCATGATTTGTGCAACTGTTTGAGATTTTTGGTGAACTTTAGTAACTTTTAGAAAATGTCTTTAGTAACACTTGAGTAATTACTAGTTAGTTCCAATGATTTTCACTTTATAATACGAATCCAAATAATTAGTAATTCCCACAGAAGTATCTAGTAACACTTTCATCTGTGAGCTATTACTTACTAATTCGTTAATAAGAATTTCTTTTAGTTAATAGTAGTTACTAGATTGTTAATAAACTTTTTCAGTAGTTCTCTGGGAAGTATTAAAAAATAGTAGTTATCGATTACTTAATAGTGAACTACCACTTTCGTCTGTGCGCTATTACTTACTAGTTCGTTAATCAGAGTTTCTTGTTAGTTAATAATAGTTACTAGATTGTTAATGTTGTGTTACTCATTAGTTCTTGTGTAGTTATTCATTAACGAAGGAACCGTATTCTAAAGTGTTACCGAGAGTTTCAGTGCAGCTTCAAAGGGCTTTCAACGACACCAGACGATGAATAAGGGTCTTATCTAGCGAAATGATCGGCCATTTAAAAAAATAAATAAAAAAGTTTAAGTTTTATAAGCTCAAATGCTCGCCTTACTCTGTTCTGTGATGAGCGTTCGTGACTCTCCAGTTCATCAAAATTGACAAATCTTTTTTTCCAGTCATTTTGTTCATTCAACAAACGAAATAAACGAAATGACTCGAAAAAAGAAAAAAAAAATCCTGTAATGTTTTCATCAAAAACCTTAATTTCTTTTCGACGGAAGAAAGAAAGACATGTACATCTTGAAAGACATGGGGGTGAGTAAATTATCAGCAAAAGTTTTTTTTTTTTTTTTTAAAGTGAACTACTCCTTTAAGAAACAAAGCAGTATGATGGTCCAGCTCCTGAGCACAACTGCAGGATAGGGATCAGAACACTCCTTCCACAAAGGACTAGCATCTTAAACACATTAATAAATTCAGTGTGGATCCTTATCAGGCAACCTATAAAAAGAAGATAAGAGAAGATAACAGAAAAACCCAAAACAACACAAATATGAAAAATGTATTTTTCTCTATGCTCAACCAGTCAACCAGATACAATCTTTAGTCAGGGCAGCCCTAAAAATTACATAAGACTGTAATGAAAATATGAGTCATGAATGAGTCATGAAATACAGGATGATGTATTGCATACAGGAAAGAAGACACGGTGGCCTCAAAAAGTGTTTGAACACTTACAGTATGGCACAATTCAAATGTATGAATTTCATTGCATTAACTACAAAACTACACTTTATTTCTGCCATTTTTTATTTAATGCAATGATAAGTGTCCAGATATAGAGGTTGTGAAAAAAAAAAGAGTTTCATATTAATCAAACCCTGAAAATCTTTTCCTTCTCAGAGATTTTATTTTGGGCTCATTGTGTCACACACACACACACACATCTTGCAAAGATTTAGATTTGCAATGTTTGCACATTTACTTTCACTTCTGACCGCAGGGCAGCTGGGCTCTCAGACAAGTACTGCAAGCAAGTGGAGCGTAAAGTTCAAGCTCTTCCATCTCTTTCAAACTGAGGAGCAAGAGAAATGGAGGCTATGTCTAACTAATACAATCAGAAAAATATGTGGTTTGTCTGGACAAGTACCACCAGCAAAATTAGTGTGTAAACATTTTTGTGGAAACGATTGAATCATTTCAAGTGGGAAAGAAATAAAATTTGAAACAAAATACACAATAAGATTGTTTCTTTTTCTCTCTCTGTTGCTGACTCAGCGATGTGACTTTCCTTGATGTGTTTGTCTTCAAAAGTCAGGTTTACTTTTTTAGGTCACACTTTATTTTAAAGGATTAGTTCACTTGTCTTTCCATGTCTTTCTTTCTTCAGTCGAAAAATAAATGAAGGTTTTTGATGAAAACATTCCAGGATTTTTCTCCATATAATGGACTTCAATGGAAACCAAACGGTTTAAGGTCCAAACGAGAGTTTCAGTGCAGCTTCAAAGGTCTTTAAACGACACCAGACGATGAATAAGGGTCTTATCAAGCGAAACGATCAGCCATTTCAAAAATGAATAGAAAAGTTTACGTTTTATACGTTCAAATGCACCCGACGACCTTGCATGAATGAAGGAGTGAGTGAATGGGTGAATTTGAGGCTAAATGTAAAGCGCTTTGGTGGCCATTGGGTCTGTGGGTCGCTATATAAATGCAGTCCATTTACCATGAGTTGGCAAGATCATTCCGTGAATGAGTGATTTTGTGGCTCTCATTGATGGTGCCACGAGCCGTCACTCATTGACCGATCGTAGGCTTCAGGGATGTAGACTCGTAGGAGTGAAGTATCAGGGAGCTTTTGGAAATTAATAAAAAAAACATCCTGCATGATCCATCGTGCGGATGGCCTTCCCATCCTGAGTATGATGAAACCATCATCCCACATTTTCCTGGAAAGAATATTGCACTAAAAATAGCAGTATCTGGTGTTGCAGGCATCTGCTTTAAGTTTTACAGTGAGATGTTGCATCACTCTTTCCGCTAAAGCCACTTCCGACACTTGCAAGTTGCATCTTGACCATGGTTAGATCACTGCAAGATCGATCAGCTCATTATATGTGCTGTACACACAGTGCAGTATATTATACAAATGTAGTTTTTTTACACACTTAACCTGTGTGTGTTACATGCAACTATGAATGTGAGACTGGAGTATGCGGTCAACATGCAGGTCTGAAGGCGCTGTTGTGGTGGGAAGTTCAGTCATGTATGATACTGATGGAGGGATTTTTTCATTTTTCAGCTGCACATGCTTATTACGTGTTTAGTCTATAAGTATGCACGTTTGAATGTGTATGCAGACGTGTCTTTCCTTACAAATTGACCTCAACAAATTACTTTAGAATTTAAAACTTAACTAAAAAAAAATGTATAATAGAGATTTTTTTTTTGGCTTTCCGCATGTGAACCAGAATCTTTCTGACAATGTGTTCATGACTCATTGCTCCTAATGTGTGTGCACTAACTCGATGGGTTATAGAGGACACATTTCGCGTAATGGATACCATACTTGGCCTTCACTTTAAGAAAACACCATGTTTGTTTTTCTACACTTCCAGTTGATCAGGAAGCGGTGGTTGACTCTGCAAAAATATGTTTGCATGTTTCCTACATTAAACATTACTTTGCATTCTACATACCAATGCACCTGTATGATGCGTTTTATCATGATAAAAGTTAGGGGAGCTGGTCCACCTTACAAAAGAGCAGATGAAGCCGATTAATTCATTAAGAACTAAATAATCAATCCAGACGTGTGTATTTTTTGTAGGTGGTCAGTTTTATGGGTCCCACTTTATATTAAGTGGGTTTACGTACTATGTACTTACATTGAACAATAAGTACAATGTATTATTGTGTTCCTATTGTATTGTAAAAGACTTTTGCTGCTATTTAGGTGTGATACGGGTAAGGTGAGGGACAGGTGTGGTGGTATGGGTCGGTTTAAGGGTAGGTTAAACAAATGTAATTACAGAAATTAATTATAGCTGTAATGTAAAAATGTAAGTAAACATGTATGTACACAATAAGTTATAAATTGTTAATTTCAATGTAATTACATAGTACTTAAAGTAGGGATGTCCCGATACCACTTTTTCACTTCCGATACCGATACCGATGCCGCAGCTTTGGCTTTTGCCGATACCGATATTAATCCGATATTTTTATTTTATTTTTAAACTAATAAAAAATATAGCAATTTTCTCAATTAGCCCCTTAAAATATACCTCCAGTGTGTGTATATACTGTATATATATAAAAGAAAATGCAGGTACTTCAGTACTTAAAGCTAGCTAGCTACCAACAGGTTTAAAGTTAAAACAATTTAAACAGCAGCATTCTACATTGTAAATACCAGTACAGTTTTTTTTAAAGCAAGTAGAATTTCTATAATTGTGTGTTAAACTCATTATCACTCTGGTGTGTGTTAAACACAATCTACAGACAGCTTCATAATAAAGATAAACAACAAATCCCCAAAATATATTATCATAATCAATGACACAAAATGCTATTATAAACTAGATTAGTGAATAATAAATATTGCTCTTTGTATTGTTGTAAAATACATTAATGAAAAACAATGTAACAAAAATGAAAAAGATAATTATTTTAGATATAGCCAAAGACTACTAAAAAATTGAGACATGTTTTAAGTGTACAGCACAGCTATTTAATGAGGCAGCAACATTAATAATTATTAATGTTAATAAGCTTTAATTGCGTCACTGCATTATGATATGAATGACTCCAACACAGTGCGGCACAAAGCGCTTCTGCGCATTCCGAGCGCAGAATGATGCGCTTGAAACCACGTTGAGTAACAGCACGCAGCCGAGTATGCGCGTCGAGTCAGCTTTGAAAAGTTCAAAGCACAACGGAAATATATATTGATGGACAGTGTATTAAACAGTATGTATCTATTAAATAGTTTATTGAGCCTTTTCTTTAAACAGTTTTAAATTTCAGTTACTGTGCGCGTGAAGAACAATAGTGCTCTGACTCTAGTGTTGTGATCTAACCGACAGCGTCCGACACAATGGTAGAAAGTAACACGATTAAGTTACAGCAATAAAGTCCAGCAAGATAATGTTGTTTTATGCGAAAATATAGACCCTAATCTACAGATAAAGTATAATAGTATAAACAGTGAATCATCTTGAAGATAGTTTCATCATTGACTGTAACCGAACGCGACGCGCTGTTTGAGTGCTGAATGGAGAATGACTGACAGCCGCGAGAGGAAAACGTTTACGTGATCCTGAATTTAATGACTTGTATTAATTAATTTCTAGACTAGGACTCGACAAATAACTAACAACAGCAACAAGATCAGGAACTTTACAAGACAGAATTCTTCACAAGGTACTCACGGGAAGGTCCACACATTGTATAATAACCATAAACACACTGAGAATCACAATGAACCGGCAAACAAGACGAGACACCCCTCGCTGCAGCCTGTAGCACGATGACGTAGCTGGATGGTCCAATACGTAGTGGATGGATGTGTTTTGGTGACGTCATTTACGCATGCGCAGTGCCGATCTCTGATTATAATTCGAATGCATTGGTTTTAAGTGATATGTAAGCTCAATATTGTACTGAGATGATGTTCAAACTGTGTAGTATAATACTGTTAAATAATTATAAGTAATTATTGATGAATAAGTAAGGAAAATGCTAAAATAATAACAGCATGGGGAAAATAAATCTTGTAATAATAAACTCGCATTTATGTTATACATTCAGAATTGCGAGAAAAAAGGTCAGAATTCTGACTTTATAGCACACAATTGCGACTTTATTTCACGCAATTCTGTCTTTATAACATGCGATTGAGGCTTTCTTTCACCTAATTCTTTCTCTATAACATGCGATTAAGGCTTTATTTGACCTAATTCTGTCTTTATAACATGCGATTGAGGTATTTCACCTAATTCTGTCTTTATAAGATGCGATTGATGCTTTATTTCACCTAATTCTGTCTTTATAACATGCGATTGAGGCTTTATTTCACGTAATTCTGACTTATATCTCACAATTCTGAGAAATAAAGTCTGCGAAAAGTATACTCGCAATTGTAAGGAAAAAGTCGCAATTATTAAAAAAAAAAGGTTTTATTCTGAAAGCTCTGAAAATAAGAGCTTCGCTCGTGAAATGTATTCTTGGAAGATCAACGATTGTTCACCAACTCTCTAACTAGGCCTATGAATTCTTAATGTGCAAGTGCCATCAGCGTTTATCACAGGATCGTGTTTAAAGTCTGTTTAGAGAGAACGGTGTCATCCCCTAATTTAATAACAAATTATCATTTCGACAGAATCAAAACTAACTAGCTGTAAAATAACATTATTCACGAACCGCTATAAAGCAAAAACAATCTGTTACATTAAATTAAAGCTGCTTTGAAACAATCTAAATTGTTAAAAGCGATATATAAATCAAGATGACTTGACTTGACTAGTGCGCATGCGCGCGTTACAGGGTCCAACACGTATTGGACCGTCCAGCTACGTCATCGTGCTACAGACTGCAGCGAGGACCTCTTGAACAAGACGGCAAACACAAGGGGATTAAATAGAGAGACGAATGATGAAACAACAGATGACACATAAAGCAATAATGACAAGACAAGCACATGGCCCAAACAAAAAGCTGTTCGCTATTGTTGGTGCGTGTCCTTTATCAGATGTGTTAATTAAAAATAATTATGTACAAGTACTCTATTGGACACCCACTGTGATTGATATGTTAAATTAATAAACATTCCTTTGTATTGGCAGAGCATGACAAATATATCAGGTTTGTCTGAGCCAAAATCTTGTCTGTAGAGTAGTGTTTATACTGGTAGCTGTAAAACTTTACTGAAAGATAGCACATGTCCATGGAGTGATTACATTCCGTATACCGTTTTTTTTACCCCCCAAGAGATGTTTGCGTGATTACATGTGACCACTGGTATGCAAAGCATAGTTGTTGTTTATAAAAGTGGCAATGGATAAGATTTTTCCTGGCAAGACAGCAAACTTTTTTACGGATTAAGTCATGGTTTTCCAGTCGAAGTGTCTCATGTGTTTGCAGGCATG